CAATATTCCTGGTCGTAGTCAGTTAAATGGTCATAAGAAAATTTTATTTAATAATTAGGGCCAATCATGATAGTAAAGAGTTATAATCATTTATATGTATATGTATCATGTCATTGGTAAATTGTCCAAAAATTGTCACAAACTTTTCGTGTTTAAGTGGACCACAATACTGACGATCGATCAAACGAAGGTGTGAAGATAAGGGTACCGATAAGTGGAATAAGGCTGTCCAACAACTTTGATCCCAAATCACTCTAAAAGTTAGCTATTATTTTTGTTTTTGTTAAGTTTGTTCATAGTGGTCTTCTAATTTAAATATAAGGAGGAAAATTTAAAAAAAACAAAAAAACAAACAAACAAACAAACAAACAAACAAAAATCAGAAAATTCAAAATCAAAAATAGTGTTATTTCTGTTATATTTCTTTTTCAGAAAATATAAAAAATCCAAAAATATTTTTGTTTTGTTTTAATTTATGTGCTAAGTTTTCCTTTAGTTTTGTTTTGTCTTGAAAAGTGATTTCAGGTATAGATGAGACTCATGGAGTTTGTGTTGAAGATTTCTGAGCCACAGCTTCATCCGTGAGCATCGAAGAATTCTCATTCGAAGGAGCCAGAAATGAAGATTATTCTTCCAACATTCAATCCTTCAACCCCAGAAGCATGGAGAAGCTGAAATTGAAGATTATGTGATGGATTGCATTGAAGCCTCCTCAATCAGTCTGCTGCTATCTTAAACCTGCTGAAGTGATCTAGAAGATTTGTTCTCTTTGATGTTCTCTCTAAAGATTCTCAAGCTGAAAGCGTTATCTTTCAAGAATCAGTACAAGAAGCCTCCTCACCCAGTGTGCGTTCAATGTCAAATCTTGAAGAAAAGCTCAAGTGCTCAAGATGAAGTCATTCATTGAAGATTCATATGTTCATCCTGATGTTGTGAAGAAATCGAAGGTTAAAGCTGAAGCTAAACTCCCATTGAAGATTGACAAGAAGAGCCAACTACATTTTAGGGGGAGCTTGTTAGGTCATTTAAGAAAAAGAAAGCTATAAACCAAGGGGGAGATTGTTGGGTCAAAATATGGTTTATACTTTGCTTTTCAGGGCAATTATATTTTCTGTAATATTTTATGAGTTTACGGTCAGGTTTACGGCCAGGGAGGTGTTTACGGCCGTAAACAGGTTTACGGTTGTAAATCCTGTTTACGGCCCGACCGTAAACCCATTTACGGCCCATGTTCACCAAGCCCATATTCCCTAGTATATATATAGGTGTTAGGGTTGAGGAGTAGAGATTGATGAACGTGAGAATAAAGAAACTAGAGAGCATTTTGTGTGTGTGAATCTTTTGTATCCAGATTTTCATTCTAATCAATTCATACATAGATTCATCATATTCTTCTTCTCATTCTCTTCTATTTGATCTGACTTCATCCGTTTGATTGGGATTCCGCACCATCAAACGGATCTGATTGATACACAGGCAAATTAGGGACTTACCAGATGGATTTCCTGGTTGATCAAACTGAAAATTATTATCAAGATTTACAAGGTTAGTCCCTCAAAAATTTCAAAACTTTGTTCTCAAATCTATTTGATGCATTATGTGTGCATCTTAGCTCATTAAGTTGTTGTAGGTTAGTCTTCTCAGCACATTACATGCTCATATAGACTTTCCTTTTACCCTGATTTTATGAATGAAACAATTGAATAATCTCCAAACTACTTAGTCATATAGTAAAATAAAACTGGTTATTTTTGTAACTGTTCTTGAATGAAGGCTAAAAGCCTAAAACTATGATGAGTTGATTTAGTTAATCAAATACATAAACAAAATGATATACATGTATCACTCCAAGTCGCTCCCATAGCCAACGTCTAAGTGCACAAAATCTATGACCAAAACTAAAAATATATCTTAAAAAAATGCCAGCTCCATCCATAGTTAGAGTCGCCATCTTAGAACTATTGTCAAGAGCATATGCCACAGTACTGAGTTTCAAACTTGATGACATTGCATCGTTTTTCACTATATTTAGGAACTTGCAATTCTTTTTTCTAAGCAGAATCTAATCATGGGAAGAGAGTGGTACATACTCATTGAGGAGTTTCATCAAACACGTAGAATGCGATATATAACTAGGATTTTCACACAAGAAGAATACTTTCTTTGACTGTACATCGTTAACTTTGGAGAGGAAACTCAAAGTGGTTTAAAGACGGCATTGTTGCGGCTTGATGCACCTCACGTAGTCCGTACTTAAATCGAACAAAGGAGTATTCAAGGGTAATCACACTCTGTTATTTATCACCACCAATTTTTATAGCATGAATTTCTACTATTTTCGTTTTTTATTACAATATTATAATATTTGTGCATTTAAGCAAAGGTTGGCAGTAAGTGAGTTTGGGTTGGGTTTGTATTGTTGAGTTTAGGAACTTACCTCCATAAAAGTATCAAGAATGAACATCCTCTGAAATTAGGAGCTTACATCAACTTGGACTACTAACTCCTTCACGGATAAACATCTAGCATGTTGGAATGACGCCTCCAAATTGGTTTCTTGAGATGTCAAATCTTCAACACCCTGTTCCCGAGTTCAACGGAAAGGAAATGGGTGGAAATTAGAAGAAAAAAAAATGATGTTCCTGAGTTTCATTAAAGGAAATAAGTGGAAGAAGTGGAGGGGAAATGGAAGAATCATTTTCCTTCCTATCTTTCCTTCCGATTTGGGAGAAAAGAAGAAAATTATTAATTTTTCTTTCGCTTCTTTCCAACTCGGGAACACAAAAGAAAATTTTGTTCTCCTTTCCTTTCTTTTCTCTCGTTAAATTGAACTCGGGAAAAATTAAGAAAATTATTAATTTTTATTCTTTTCTCTCATTACTTTCTTTTCTTTTCTTTTGATAAACTCAGAAACGGGGTGCAAGAGAAATAGGAACTAGGAAGGGTTTTTGATACAAATTTAAACCTCATGTTGTTAAAAGAAATATAAATAAATACAGTTTTATCGTAAGTCCGTTTTTATATTTATTATTGTCTGAAATTTATAAATGGTTTTTTTATTTTTATTTTTATTTATTTATTTATTTTAATTTTATAAGTGATGACAGATTTTCAAATTAACATCTAATAAAATTTATTTATTACATATTGTAGAAGCTTTACAATATTTAATTTAAGCCTAATTTTTTCTTTTTCTTTTTTTTAACATACAGCCCAGTAGCCCACACATTAGTGATCCATAATCAATTGTCTTTTTCGTCAGACAGACAGATCGACACAACAGCCCCACCCATTTTTTCAGCCATGTTTTAATTTTTTTTTTTTATTTCCGTTATCGCTCTTATTTATCAAGGATTCTGTCCTTCCTCTTCCACCTTAACAACCAAATGAGTATCATCATTTGTTCAAATCAATGCTTACAAAGAAAATTCTAACTATTTATATGAACCAAAATCTGATTTATCACTTGATGAGGTTTTCACAGTGGTGGTCGAATGGCAACGCGATGCACTCTATGTTACTGCGGTTCGATTTCTAGCAGGGGCACCAAGTTCTACTTGTGGTGTTGGAATTTAATCGAGCCGTATTGTGATCAATTTCTCCGCTTATATGATGTCCCCCAAGCCGAAGGGGAAAAGGCATATATTCATCTAGCGTTCAGACGTGGTTAATACTCGGCCTGAGGTTGATGCAAATGGGCTTTCTGAAGGAAACGCATCTATTTACCAATAAGGTATGTTATATTTCTTTTAGTACCGATGTAGTTTTGTGCTTTGAAAACGTACAAGGACATAAAAAGCATACGTAATTGGTAATAATTTGGTAGTCCAATCCAATTTCTGTCAAGGAAATTCCTCGTTTATGGAAATTTGTAATGTTTACGTCTTTGATTTTGAAGTTGCTATGTTTAGTATAACCGATTCTGGAATGCTTAGATTAGATTGTCAACAGTATCATTTTGTTGGATTACTCATCGTCGTAGAAACTTTAATTAGCAAGAACCTGAGGATTTTCCATAATTAGATATCATATTTTGACTTTCTGCAGTCAAAATTTGAAACCTCCAACCTTTGAATTTGATATGTAGGTATTTTAATTCCTATTAGAATCAATGAAGACAGTAGCTTGTAGTATTTTAAGGACACCATGTTAGCCATTTTTGTTTTAGCTACTACATTACCATTATTCATGTCATTTTGTATCATGCCATTTTTGTTGTTAACTTCAACTTTTGGTCTGGATTCTTGTAATCATGGTCTATTCTTTGTTAAGAGTACCAGCATTTTTTTTGTCAGTGATTTTTTGTTCTAAAGAAACATAGAGCTTGTGGTGGTTATGATCTCCAAACCATAATTAAACTGTATTCTACATGAATAGAAACTTGCTCACTCTTAAGAAGAAAGTTAAACATTACTTCAATAATTTGAGGAAAATGATCAAATATTGTTTTGTGCTTTTATTCAGTTGAACGCCAGAGTTCTGCAATCAGGAAAATTGGTGATGTCCTGATTGAAAGGTTACTTACTGTTTTGCCCTTGCTGAAATCTAATATAAGCAACGAAGACTCTATTACTTTAATATTCTGAAGGAAATCTTCCACACCTAACAGTGTCAAAACCAAGAAAGATGGACCAATTGAAGTTAAATTGAAAGATAAAGTTGATAATTTGTCCATGAACACAGGTGATGGAGGAAACATGATCCCTTCATTTTTACAACATATGCCCATGGCTTATCCTGACTGCTCTACTGCAATGCCATCTGTTTGTGGCTTTTGAGTTTCCAAGTAAAAATCGTAAGCTGTTATGCAATAAGGGTTTCAGTTTTCATTTTGCATTATGATTTATTTACACACAGTTGGATCGATCCCTGCTTTTATATAACTTGGTTGCAGGAAAAACAAGCTTCATTGGCACTGATAATCTTCAAATCAAGGATTTTGTAGGTTATGCATTCTTATCCTCAAAAGGCCACCATATTCTCAAAGTAATACCTTCATTCCATTTATTTCACAACTTATTTCAACAAAATACAAGATTCATCAGATACTCAAATACATCCATATTTAACAATTAACACCCAAAATATCGACCAACAAGACACCTCAACTATTTTGAAGTGTATCCAGAATATGCTGCAACTCATGGACAACATTTACGATATTCATCCGTTGCGCTGGGGAATCCACAGAGCATGATACTCCAAGTTTGACAGTTGAAGCCATGCATTCCTCTATTTTCTTTACATCTGCTGCTATTGTAGGAATTGCATCCTCTTGAAGAAAATTCAGAAGATCATCATCAAGAACATCAGTTACATGATCTGGCAAGGCCATGTATGCAAATCTATGAAGGGTAAGGCCTTCAATAAAGATGTTGTCTGTTGGCCTCTTCCCTGTCATCACCTCCAACAATAATATTCCGAAACTGTAGACATCTCCACTACTTGTCATCTTGCTCCCAACACCATACTCTGCAACTTATAAGCAATTATTTTAAAAAAGGTAACACTATAAATAAGTACAGGAATCTGGGAATACATACATGAACTTTACCTGGAGGTGCATATCCAATTGTTCCTCTAATGCTACTTGTACTGTTTTTGTTTGAATTTGCTCCAAGAAATCGAGCTAAGCCAAAGTCTCCAACATGGGCCACCATATCATCATCCAACAGAATGTTGCTAGGCTTCAGGTCACAGTGAATGATGGCTGGTAGACAGTGATTGTGAAGATAATCAAGGGCAGATGCAACATCGATGAGAATATTTATTCTTTGAAGAAGGTTCAGTTTAGTTTTAGTTACATTTGAATGCAACCAGTCATGTAAACTCCCATTGGGCATGAACTCATATACCAAAGCTTTGAAATCATTGCCTTGAAAGTCAAGACTTGAACATGAAGTTATTATCTTCAACAGATTCCGGTGTCGAATACTCCGCCACACTTCACACTCCGCTGTAAAGCTTCTGTGAGCACCTCGGTTTTGAAGATGTATAACTTTGACAACAACACATCTATCATCATGATCATCAAGGATTCCTTTGTAAACAGAGCTGAACCCACCTTCGCCAATCAAATTGGCTTGGGAGAAGCCGTTGGTAGCCTTTAGAAGTTGAGCATATGATACTTTCATGAACTGTTCGTTCCTTGACAATTGAGATGGTTGACTCTTCCTTTTCTTACACCAAACATATACAAAACATAATATAGTGAAAAGTGTGGATGTGACCAGAATGAGTATGACGAACAAAGGAAACCTTTTTTTATGTTTATCACGAGTCTCATTGCATTTGGGCAGCCCAAGTTCAGGCAAGCCACCACAAAGCCTGGTATTCCCCAAAACAGAGAATGCACTTGCATTGGCAAACACTCCTAGCACCGGTACTTCACCCTCCAAATCATTAAAGGATAGGTTTACATATTCTAGTAAGACCAGCCGTTCCAAGAATCCAGGAATTTGGCCTGATAAATTATTCTGAGAGAGATCCAATGTTATAACTCCTCTCATGAAACTTAATGACTGTGGAACCATTCCTTGAAATAAGTTGGCTCTGAGGGATAGAAATGAAAGGCTAGTGCAACCAGCAAGGCTACTAGGAATGTTACCTGATAAGTTATTCTGTGATAAATCCAAAGAAGTCAACATCTTGAGTTCGCCAACCTCCGCGGGAAGTGACCCAAACAAGTTGTTTTGAGAAAGATTTAACATAATGGTCAGAGATGAAAGTTGAACAAGTTGTTTAGGTATTCTCCCGCTGAGTTGATTGTCAGCAAGGCGCAACTCCAATAGATTATGGCAATTTCCCATACTTGATGGAATATATTCCAATCTGTTGGATTGTAACCAAAGTTTAGTTAACAATGATAAGTTCCCGATGTCATCTGGAATTGGCCCTGAAAATTGGTTGTTAGATAGATAAGCAACTTGCAGGTTTTGAAGCTTACCAATGGTGGAGGGGATTTTTCCTGTGAATCGGTTATCTCGTAAAGATAAAAGGGTCAAGCCAACTAGATTACCTATAGCGGAAGGAAGGTTTCCATAGAAATGATTTTCTCCTAAAAGTAGGAGAGAGAGTTGATCGGAAAGATTACCAATTGATGTGGGCAACACTCCTTGAAACTGGCAATCATTAAGATACAACAACGTTAATCTGCTGCAGTTTTTCAAAGAATCAAAAAACTTCATATCATCAGCTTCTCCGAATCCAAAGGTGTTTTTACCTAAGAGTAAATAATTGATATATTTTAGTTTTGCAAAATCGATTGTCAACTTCCCACTAAAACTGTTGAAGTTCACTTCAAGAATTCGAAATTTGGAACAGTTAGATAGCGAGGGTGGAAGAGGTCCGGTCAGTTGGTTTTGCCGTAATTGAAGGCGCTCAAGATTCGGAAGCATTTCACCTACGGCTGGAGGAAGACTACCGGTAAGCTGATTCTCAGCCAAGGTAAAATTAGTGAGGAGTGAGAGGTTAAAAATGGAATGAGGGATGGTTCCAGATAAGTTACAGCCACCAAGGTAAAAACTTGTTAAGCTTCTCCAACGGCCTAAGGTGTCTGGAATGCTACCACCCAACGGATTGCCAGAAGCAGTGAACTCTTCCATTGATGTTATATTCCCCAAGTCAGGCGGGATTCCACCTGTTAAATTATTAGCATCGATTTGAATATGAGCAAGTTTTGTCAGGAAACTCATCTCTTTGGGTATGCTTCCAACTAGCTTGTTTTGATAAAGGCCAAGCCTTTCAATGTTAGAACAACGAGACAAGTTGGTTGGAATGGCCCCGCTGAATTTGTTAGATCCAAGATAGAGGAAACGTAGCCTGGAAAGACGACCCAGTTCATGGGGGATCCTTCCTTGAAAGCTGTTGTTTGAGAGAGAAAAGTGACCAAGGAAGCTGAGGTTCCCTACATGAGGAGACAATGAGCCTTCTAGGCCTTGTGATACCAGTACTAGAGCAGTGACTCTTTTATTCTGCTTCCCACATGAAACACCACTCCAATCGCAGAAATGAAAGGAAGTGTTCCATGAGCTTAGAGCATCATATGGATCATGGGTGATCATCGACTTCAACTGCAACAACGCCTGATAATCGGTCTCATTACCGCCAACAAAAGCAGAAATGGTGGTGGTTATCAGACAAATAACAAGAGTAGAAGAAACAAGGAAAGCAATACGAGAATTCATTTTTGGAAGTACAAAGATAACTGATGATGCCTTAAAATTTATACTCAGTTTGTTAATGTTAACGTACGTGACAGGCAAACGCTGAGAAGCCATCCACAAGTTTCTTATCACCTTGACCAAGACAAACTGAGTAAACTTGCTTATAGCAATAATTCGTTTGTTTTTCTATTGCTTGGAAGATGAGAAACACTCTGAGAGCTATTATATAACAAACCAATCAATAAAAATATAACTAATGAAATTATTATCAACTTGTAAAAATTATTATGGATTATTGTTGCGTCGACAGCGACTACGTACAAAAGCTTCAAACCCAAAAACAAAAGATATGAAATAATTTTTACGCCCAATTACAAAACGCTTTAAAAAAAAAAAAAAAAAAGTAATTCTCCTACCAAAATGCAACTAAATTTTGGTATAATACAAGTTATCATTTTATCTGGCCGAATAAGATCAAATCAAACAAATCACATTTCATTTTAAATGTTTTAGATACAAAAGTTTTACTTCGTCATATTTTTTAATTATCACATATAACTGTTAATATATTTAAACATAAAAGGTAAAATTGAACTTATACAAAACATATCATCGAGATCTTTAAAATAAATAAATAACTGAATATGATGTTTAAGTGTCATAAAATACTTACAAGGCAAATATTTAAATAAAAGGTACAAAAAGAAAATTTTAATTAAACAAAAAAATCACAACAAGATGATAATATAGAATACTAGGTTACAACCCATAGGAACCACGGGTAATCAATTTCAGTTTTAGAGAAGATCACTTGTTGATTTATCATTGATTACATTGACTCAAAAAAATCTCAAATAATTGCGGATTTAAGATATGCAAATTTCTAGAAATAATTCATGATATAAGGGATTGAGTATTATTATGGAATTGAAATTAAATACATAATAATGATTGCTTATTTGTAGGGATTGATTCAAACATAACATATTATAACATATTTAAAGATTACAATTGATGGAAATTAATATGGATACCAAATTTAAATTAAATGAGGGTAAAATAGTCAATTAACTTTGTAAAATATTAGAGTTGGAAGTGTCAAAGAGAGACTCTTTTATTAGAGAGTAGATTACAACTATGTTTGTTGTAGCTACAACTATATGTCTTACATATTATTAATTTATATTGTATATAATCTTATAAGTAAATTTTGATAATTAAATAAATTTGTCTTTAATTTTATAAATTAAATTCTCCAAATAATCTTTTTGTAAGTATAAATTAATTATATTCGATGCATATATTGAACTAATAAACCAAAATTTGATGTAAATATATTTTTAGAATATGCTTTTATAAATAAATTTTGGTACGAAACACATATTTTGGTGTTTCTACTAATTATTTTTCATTGCTAATGTTGTGAAATTGTAGTTGCTAATATGATGTCAATGTTTTTGTTCCGTAACCATTAGGGATGGGATTTAAAACCGGAAAAACGGACCGAAACCGGAATCGGACTGGAAATTTAACCGTTAAAACCAGAATATATAGAACCGGTTACAGTTTTGGGTTTAAAGAATGAGAGTTTAGGTCCATCGGGTCCGGATAAACTGGGTTTAAGAACCGCAACCACTTTTAGGGGTCAAAACTGGTTTCTATGAAAAGTTTAAAACATGCATATCTCATTCATTTGAAGTCGGATTGACATGTGGTTTTTTCCAATGTATAATTTAGAGTTTTTAAATGATTTTAGACAATAAATTTACCATTTTTAGTGTAACATCCCGAATTTCAGGAGTACGATTTAAGAGTTTAAAGTGTAATTTCGAAGAAGGGACTCGGCGAGTAGGTACGCTTACTTGCCGAGTCGGAGCGGGTTTGGGTCGCGATTTAAGTGACCAACTCGCCGAGTCGGAAGCTGGACTCGACGAGTTGGTGCTGGGATGAGAAAAACCCTAATCTTAGGGTTTGCACCCTATTTAAAGGACTTAATGTCCTCCCCTCAGCTCCCTTCGCCCCCTTTGAGATCCAGTAAACCCTAACTCATGTGTATAAGACCATTGGAGGGAGATTGAAGCTTTGAGAGGTGTTCTAGTGGAAGAAACTTGAAGATCAAAAGGGTTTGCATCAAGGAAGTAGTGTACATCCAGAATCTACTGCAGTTTTGGGCACATCTTGGAGGTAATGAGCTGTTACCTTTCCTTTGTTGCTCTTAGATTTATTCTTGAATGAGATTTAGGGCCATTTTGGTATGATTGGGATCCACTTCGGCTTTGTAGTCCAGAACTGAGGTTGCTACTTCAGATCTAGACTTGTATTGGTCCAGAAAGTCATAAAGCATCAGTTATTGAATTGTAGGTGAAGCCCTTTTGTCCCAAACCCAAGCCCTAGTGTGTTTTGGGCCTATATCTCTTTGGTTTCACGTAAAGTTTACAACTTTATGTGAGGGATAGATTGTAGGAGGGTGGATCTACGGATTGGAGCCTCAGCATGGCTCGAAAAGCCTCTGAATGGATTGAGAACCGGAGAGACTCGACGAGTCACATGGGTGTACTCGACAAGTTATATGAACACGTACATGGACTCGACGAGTTGGAAGACCAACTCGGCGAGTCTGTTGAAGATTGCCTTGGACTCGGCGAGTGTGTTCTTGGACTCAATGAGTCTGGTCGTGAAGCCCTAACCTCTTTTGGTCAAAGCTTTGGATCGGTGAGTCGAGGGACGACTCGACGAGTTAAGTCGTGTTGTGGGAGTTTAATGCAGTGCTTCGGGATTGTGCTCTCATGATTCGGTTCGGCAGTTGCAAGGTGAGTTATCCTCACTATATCAATAGGGTCTAAGGCACCAAGGTTGGACCTTTTAGTAGTTATCATGGTTACAGTATGCTACATGTGGTTATGATATGTTAAATCGGTATCCGGATAGACAGTATGTTAACATGCTCTTATGATCCGTTAGGATTGGTATATTAGTGACCTGGTTAGGTCGTGTTTTAGTTATGAGAGATTACTATGATCGAGGATCCGTGAGATAGTTATGTCTGATATCTGTACGTGTACTGTTTGATGTGCTTAGTGATCTGTTTAGATCGGCATCCTGGTAATTAGGACAATATTACGTTAGTGACCTGGTTTAGGTCGGTATCTTGGTATATAGGATGATGCTATGTTAGTGGTCGGTTTGGTCGGTACCCTGGTTAGGATGTTAATATGCTATATGATCTGTTAGACTGTTTGTCTGGTTAAGGATTTGTTATATGATTAATTGTTTTATGTGCACATGGTTGTTTGACGGGGGTTGGGTTGCGGCGTGTAACATCCGGATTTTACCAGGTATAATGAAAGTTTAATTATGTTATTTTGTAAGAGGGACTCGGCGAGTCGGGGCTCAGACTCGCCGAGTAGAGACGCGGGATTGAGCGAAGGTGCGCGCTTGGACTCGGAGAGTCCAAGGTATGGACTCGGCGAGTCTGCGCTGTGTATTGAAACCCTAAATCTCCGGGTTTGTGGCCTATTTAAAGGGCCTTATGGCCGTCATTTGCGCTCATCCAACCCCCAGAGTGTGTCCCTAGAGTTCTTGAGCGTTTGGTGAAGGATTGAGAGCAAATCTTGACCTTGTGAGTGTTGTTTAGCAAGAAGAAGGAGGCTCTAGGCAAGAGGAAGCAAAGGAGGTTGCCATTTCGTGGATTTGGAGCTTGGATCATCACTCTAGAGGTACTATTTTCGGACCATTTCCTGTTTGGTGAAACTTGATGCAAGTTAGGGCTTAATATGATCATTTATGGGGTGATTTGGTGCCCTTTTGTCCCCTCTTTGAGTTGAGACCATGGATCTGGATCCATAGAGGTCCAGAGGGCCTCACTCATCAAGCTTTATGGGTGAAAATGGAGTCCTTGGCCTTGTGTTGAAGTAATAGAGTCAAAATCATCATTTGTGATCATGTAGAGGTTATTTATGCATCAAGATTGTGACTTTACGTGCTAAATAAGCATGGGGGGACTGGATCTATGGATTAGTGGACTGGATCTGGCCTTTAGAGCAAGATTGAGTCAGTGCATGGCACGGACTCGCTGAGTCCGAAGAACAGACTCGGCGAGTAGCATGAATGTTGCGTGACCACTCAGCGAGTGGTCTCGCCGAGTTGGGAAAGGTGAACTCAGTGGGTCAAGGGAGAGTCAGGATGGACAGGTGGACCGAGTCAAACTGGACTCGCCGAGTTGTTCTTGAGACTCGGCGAGTTGAGTCGTGGTGGCCCCACAACTCGTGCCAGGTGGAGCTCATCGAGTTGGGGGAAATACTCGACGTGTCAAGGGAGGATTCCAGGGAAATTGGTGCATGCGCACGGACTCGCCGAGTCGCCATAGTGCACTCGCCGAGTCCGGTCAGAGTTGACCGTTGACCAGCGTTGACCAAGAGTGATTTGTTATAGTGTGATCAACCCTAGTTGGGAGAGTGTTAATTAGAGATGTATTGTGCTATAGGGGGACTACAGCTCGGCGGATCGAGTGTTTAGTGATTTCAGGGTTACGAGTTACCGAGACACACGAGGTGAGTCTCCTCACTATACTTTACCTTGAGTAGGTAACCAGAGTTATGTGTTAGAGTATTTGTATGCTATGTATGTTATGTGTTGTACTGCATGACTTATATGTGATTTATGTGGTGCATGTTTATCAGAGCTAGAACCTGAGGGTTCACAGAGTTTGGGTGCACGGACCCACAGAGTTATAGCCTCGAGTGGCTAATATGTGTTTTATGTGGTATTTTGGGGAACTCACTAAGCTTTGTGCTTACAGTGTTGATGTTATTTGTTTCAGGTGTTAGTGACGACCGCGGGAAGGCGCCGGCTTGATCCGTACACACACGTTTGAAGTTTTACATGTTGATCTTGGGATTTTGTACTGTTTATTTGAACAAGTAAAATGGGTGTTTTTATGAATATTAGTGGAATTATGTTTTATATAAAAATCGAAAATTTTGTTTGAAAAATCAGTGTTACACGGCGGGTCCTGCTTTGTG